GGAGCCACATTTCATCAACGGAGCCGGCCGACACTCCTGCACAGGTAAACACGAGCACGCTGTAATTGAGAATCATGCGCACACAAAACGGTGGCTGGACAACAGTCCGCTCCACACTGGGTGCATGGAACCACACTTGCAGCCTAACACGATCACAAGGACCGTGCCCCGTCCCCTCCAGTAACGACCAACTGTCGCCTACAGCCAGTATGGAGGAGGTAGTGGGTAATAGACAGGTAGGCACCATGTCAACACGCACATCAAGCGCAGCCACACCGGGGATATCAAGTAACAGACAATAACTTGAAAATACAGGAAGAAATAAACTGAATCGGATACTGTGTACAGATCCGGAGACATAACTCCTCACTAAATAGGTCTATAAAGAAAGTGATTACGAACGGAGGTCAGAAAATATATTTTAACAATATACCACAAACGCGATAATGTTATCGAAATTAACTACACATAGCTCCAGTGACGTGCAAGTTTATGAAAGATAGTACAGGTAGAGAATATTATGAGAAAGTAAAGCATTAGGACAAAATGGGAAACCCAGTATCTGATATAAAGTGACTCACCATGCAAGCAGGCGGTTAGTAAATCGAATGACGCGTACCTACAAACGCTGCGCCGGTTCTGCCTACGTTCTCTGCAGCACCCGTCGTCGCTTCGGTGGTGGTCCCGAGTGGCTTCGCTTATGGCTCACTAGGCCTGCCTGACTTAGGCACTCGCGACCGCATGCGTTACAGCAACAGGCACTCGATGTCAATGGAGTACAACCCATCGGTGCTTGTCGCTTCCGCACTTGCCGCTTCTTCTCTGCATGTATGAGGTCTTTCTCCCGCATTTCGACAACTGCATTCGTGGTTAGATCGCGCCATTCATGCCGATCAACCGCGTTCGATTCCCATGACTTGCAATCAAGAGTAGAACGTGATAGGCTAAATTTGATCATGTCCTGGTAACGTAACTTTGCTTCCCACATGCCGCTTCCCAATAATCAGCTGACCATATAATAGCTGGTTCGGTATCCACGCCGAATCCATACGGATCACATGATCCAGCAACCTCAGGTATCTCAGCAAAAGTATGCAGTCCACTGCATACATCCCACTTCGTCGCAACACTTCCGTGTCTGCAAATCTGTCACACCAACCGATGCGCAAAATAGGTCAAAAATATTGCTGATGGAACCGCTGTAGATATCGCACATCTCGCCGGTACATCATGCACGTTTCACTGCCGTATAGAAGAACGGACAGCACCATGTATTTGTACACCATAAGCTTCGTGCCAATGGTAAGCTGATGGTTGTTCCACACTCGGCACTCAGGCTTCCCGAATGCCGCCGCTGCCTTCGACACGCGAATACGCAGCTCACTGTGTAACTGCTGATCAGTCGACATCACTCCTAAGGTAGCAGAAGCGGGAGGTGGTTTCCAATACTTCAGTACCAATGCTGATTCGCGGCACCATTGTAGATTGTACCTCCGGTGAAGGCTGAAAAAGACAGTTTTGCTTGTGTTGATAGTGAGCCCGAATTTGGTCGCTGTCGAAGCCAGAGCACTAGTCATGTTTTGCATCTCATCCGCTCTGTGTGCAAACAACGCACAGTCGACAGTAAACAGCAACATACGGATAGTTGTCTCACAGACTAGAGTTCTCGCACCGAAAAGATGGATGTTCAGCAACCCACAATCAATACGGTGCTCCACACGAACACCGTAAGCACAAGCCGCATCAAAAGCACAAGACATCATTGCATGATGATATTTGTTAAACAGGGCAGGAGCTGACACAGACTTGCTTCACACCAGAGACAACTGCAAAGTAAGCCGAGGTCTCTCCACTCCGCTGCACCCTCGCCCGCATGCCGCTGTGCAGAGATTCAAGTAAACTTACAAACGTACGCGGGTAACCAAACCTACCCAACACCAACCACAATGAATCGCGGTTCATTGTATCAAATACCGTGGTGAAATCAACGAAAAGCGAGTATATATATATATATATATTATTATTATAACGACGCATCGGCACCGTTAATAAAAGAAAGTAAGTTGCATGTGTTGCAGAGAAAAGCAGAGACGCGAAGAGACAATGAACTGTCACTCGGGCATATTGATGATGGATGGATGACGCCCGCGACCTGTGTTGTTTGCGCGCAGGGGTGTGAATAGACGGAGGGGAGGAGAGGCCAAGCGAGGACTTGGCCAAGATGCAAGAAGTCTCTCACTTCGAAGCTGGCGTTGGTTGGTGTTCGCAGACTGCCTGGATGCGGACCGAAGGATGATGAACAAGTTTGTTTGGACACATTAACCAACATGGCGAAGAGTCGATCTCAGTGGCGATTGTGTTGTGAGTCTCTTTGTCCCTACTCCTCGCTTTAGTTTCCTTATCCAACAACCATCAAAAATGTGATATTAGCATTATGTCACCATTTTATAGCTTTTACATGGCTTAATGTTTTGCTTTTTTTGTATTGCGACACATTAGCAGAGGCCTTTCGCACCCTCGGCTAACTTATATTGATGATGGTGATCGATGGATGAGCTGACCCGTGACGCAATCGAGTAGAAAACAGACAACGGAGTCGAAACCCAGTGGTAATACAAGTAACCGAAGGTTCATTCAGGCAGAATAACTCCGTGGTGCAGTTAGGCGGAGATACAGAAGAAACCGCCTCACTCATGTAACAAAGGCAGGTAACATAGTGCCGTTCAACAGGTCACTATCCACTGGACTACTACCGGGCAACTGGAAATGCTCAGTCTTAAAGCCGATATTGAAAGGTGGTAACCCAAGCAAAGTGGATAACTACCGACCGATCTGCCTGACCGCTGTTTTGGCAAACACGCTGGAGAAGATTGTGAAGAAGAGCCTACTGCAGCTTCTCGAGTCGAAAAGCCTCTTGATGCCCGCACAGCATGGTTTCGTGAAAGGTTGTTCGTGCATCACCAACCTAATGTTGACGACGCATGAATGGTTGCAAGCGCCGAACCAAGGCAAATCGGTCGACGTCATTTACATTGACTTCAGTAAGGCTTTTGACAAGGTAAATCATGCAGTGTTCCTCGACAGGCTAAGAGTGCGCGGTGTTGGCGGTTCGCTGCATCGATGGATCAAGAATTTCCTTGTCGACCGAAAGTGGAGGGTCCAGGTGGACAACCATTTAACCGACTGGTTACATCGAGCAGCGGCATGCCGCAAGGGACTGTACTGGGGCCGATTTTGTTTCTGATCCGTGTAAACGATGTGCCTCAGCTACTTCAATCACCTTGTGCGTTGTTCGCAGATGACTTGAAGGTGTGGAGAGTAATCCGCACACCCAATGATTGCGACCTGGTTCAGCAGGAACTCGACCGCCTCTCCACATGGTCCGCAGAGGTCAATCTTCCGATCAACTCGCAATTCATGAGGCTGGGTAAGTTTGAGCACAGTCGAACCTACACGGTGGCCGACCAACCATTGCATGCCACATCTTTCGTGCGAGACCTCGGTGTACTCTCACGCTACGACCTAAAGTCCATAGACAAGACGAATAGGTTTCACCAAAACAGCCTTCGTATGCTTTGAGCGCTCAGGCGCAGCTTCAGCACTTGACCCGAAGAGATTGCCTCAGGCCTCTTCGTCTCAATAATATGACCAAAGCTAGAGGATGCTCTCCCGCGTATTGTCCCCGGGGCGAGGTAGAAAAGATTGAGCTAGTGCAGCATGCAGCCAGAAGGTTGATTCCCAAATTAAGAGGTGTGCCGTAGGAAGACCGGTGTAAGAAACTAGGGCTGTACACCCTAGCTTATCGTTGACTGAGGGTTGACCTCATCATAACGTACCGGAGATTACCCCATATTGAGGTCGGTGCTTCGTCTGCGCACACCAAGCAGCAAAGGAGAATACAGGTACGATATTGTCGTACCGGATTTGAAGCGGGTCGCTCACCAACTCTTTTTCGAACGCAGAGTGGTGAATGTATGGAACGACCTGCCGCAGCATGTAGTTGAGGCAGCGTCGGTGTCGGGATTAAGGAAATGCATGGACAAACACTTTGCCGACATAAAATATATCGAGCACAACACAACATAACGGGCCTTTGTCCCTGAGTGACATCAGATGCTGCTACACAGAGTAAACTCTACTTGCTGCTTTCAACCAGTAATCAGTATAGATTACCTGTTCCATAGTTTATTGCCTCATCGTAAACGCTATGCTGCAGAGCACCCAGGAATGAAGAAACAAGACCCGAGGGAGTAGATCAAGAATCACCGTAATGTGCAATTTATCGATGAACAGGTTTTTACACAATGCGACTAGGATGCACAGGCACATGGCGCTGTCGAAAATCGTCAGAAGAAAGATGGTGGCGGCGGCGAATGCGGAAAAAATGAGAAGCGACACACACACACATGCACACGGAGGTGAAATGCACGACAACGGCGCCCGTGAATAAACGTGCATTAACTGCTAGCTGCCACGACACAATGAGTGTAGGTGAAAAAACTGCGAGTAAGAAAAGTCAGATCAGGTAGTCAAAACGTAGCAGGTTAGAAAAAAACGGGGAAAGGAAGGCAAATCAGTCCACGAGTGAGAAGATGATCACAAAGAAGAGGGAGGGTGCAATGTGATGGGCTGCAAAAGTGTGGAGCAGTGAGATGATATTCTCTCTTCCATGAGAGGGAAGCAAAAAGCAAAGCGGTCGAAATACGAAATGAAACGAAATGATCGGGATACATTCAAAGTGGCGCCGGAAAGAAAAAAAGGTACCGCAAAAAACTTGAAAATAATGACATCCATTGAGAGTTGTTGTTAGAGTGCAGTTAGTTTCCGGAGTAAAAAAACAAATGAGGCCACGAGGAACGCGAATGAAAAGTAACTGTACTGACCACAAGGTAAAACAGAAATCAGTCGAATGATACTACGTAGATGATAACAATGTACAATATAAACCGGCAATTAGAAGAGAAACAGGGCAAGATGGACAAGCGAAGGAGGAGTCCGCGTTAATTCAGCAACTGAGCTTCAGTGGTCTCATCGGTAACATAGTTGACCAACTGGGGATCTGTGAGAAGTTCATAGTCCTTGGAGGTAATGGAAATACCCAGTTGGTCGGCGACCGTTTGAAACCCAGATCGCCGTAGATTCGTTCGGGGAGTGGAGCGAGAAAAATGCTCACCTGAGCCATACTCGTCCTGAGACTCGGTAAGAGTAGGCAAAAGGTTATTGTAAGCGGGAGGGTCTACGGCCTGTGGCAAAAAAAGAACACAGAAGAAAGGGTGGAGATCAGTTGTGTCCTATGAAGAAAAAATAAACTTTTGCTAGGCCGAGAGCCACACAAACATAGATAAAAAGCAATGGGATGCACATCGGTTAACAACTCATCAACATCAAAATCTTGACTTGCAGGGCGGAGCTGTCTTGAATGGCAGCATTGCATAGGTAACATTCCTACATCCCGTAGACTTAGACGGAGAGAGCAACAGTCCACAGTGCCACTAACTGCAAGCGGTATACGTCTGTGCAAGGGAGGCACAGTCAATAAGATGTATCCGAACACGCGTTAACTTTCCCTGTGTCCGGGTATCGCGTAATTTTGCCGCTTGTAGCCTGCCACCAGCTGAATTCACAGTTCACGAAGCAACACTATCAGAGAGAAAAAGACGAGTGCCGGTGGCAATCAACTCTAATGAGACATAAAAAGATACTAGGGGGTGAAATCTCTAAAGCGCCCGCTAGATCGCTTGAAATAAGATGGGTGATAGGCCTCGGGATGTCAGCAACACGGATGCCGGAGGTAACTGGGTAGCACAAGGTTGATAAATGAGTGAGGCTCTTGCTAAGGAGAATAATCAAGAGTCGAATAAAAAACCGTGTGAGACATTTCGATTGAGTTGACAAGTGGTGGCACTGCTCCTCCTGGGTTCACCTGTTCGCCGGGCTTTGTAACTGGTATGTAAACGTTTCATCACCAAACCTGGTGACTTCTTCAGTGCGCTGCTAGGTCAAATGTAGTCTACTGACTTGGTCGACGATTTGTGAGTGACCATTAAGTGACTTTTGAATTGACCCCTCGATCTGTGCCCTGTCACCTTCACTCGTCTACCCAACTTCTCCGACAGACACGGGTGATCCGTGAGATGGTTTTACTTCGGCTGTTGCGGTTGTGTTGTTGATGGCTCGTTTAGCTACCCAAGACGGCTTTTAAGCTGTTTTAATTATATCCGCCTTAACGTTTGGTGCGTGTTTTTCGAGAGCTTCGTTGAGTACTATGCTTCGAGGAAGTCTCTTCCTTTTCGTGTCTCTACCAATGCTAGGACCTCAGTGTAGTTTGTCGAAGTACTTGAGTACTACTGCGACATGGACGACGTGGTTTCTAGCACTGAACTACGCACTTGCCTTGTGATCCGGAGGAGGTTACCGATTCAAATGTGCGTAGGTGCGTGCAACCATGCGGTTTACTCAGCTCACGCGGATGTGTTAGTAGCTGCGTGGTAGCAAAGCATCAGTACGGTGTGCCGGTGTACCGCATTCCTTTTTTCATCGTCCTTTTCTTTTAGAATCGATGAGAAATGACAAGAACTGGTTGCTCTAGAACGCGATAACAATGATCTATCATCATGTGAGAGTCGTTTAGATGTGGGTTCCATTATTATCATCTCCGCGAGCACCACAATGAGGTAGTTCACTGATCCTTGGGAGAGTGCAACAGATAACACAAGGAGTACAGGTCGCAGTAGCTGTGAGCGTACGCTCTGTCAGACGTTTGAACAGTACCACATATGTAGCTGGCCTTAAATTGAGGGATACTCTGGAATAGAGTTGACTGGAGCTTTCGGATGCGTGTTTTCCACTTGTCTCGTTCAGTGTTGACTTGGACACTGCACAAGGTATGAAGAAACTGACTGTAAGACTTAAACAAGCTGAAGCAGGCGGTAGCTTCGGAAAAGGACTTCCGTGTAGGCAACCCAAGGAAATGTAGGATGTAGGAATGGTAGCCATTCTGGGTGCGACAAATCTTACGAAACTCAGACATGTTGCTTTAAGGTGCTAGAACTTTTAGCTTACGATTCCTTTCCTTTTATGACCCTTCCTATTTTTGTCATAGCTGGAAAAAAGACCGGGTGAGCAACACTGTGGTCCACTAGTTGGATTTTAGCCATAAACCATTAAGTGCCTTACTCGAATGTTTGCTACAGCTCAACTATCTACGTTAACTAGATCACGTTCTTTGTATACCCGGCAACCGACTTCTTCAACGTCCATCATACGTCACGGCTGCACCAAATTGGATGAGACCGCAAGGCGGCTGGCGTCAAGTCATGAAGAAACTGACTGAGAGACCTGGTCGGGCTAGTGCGTGTCGTCTTCGCAGATGGTTGCCGCCCCAGAATGGTCCACATTACAGTAGCTGGAGATTCTATGGGACATGGCGCAACCGCGCAGTCAGTGACCCTTCTTCATTCAGTTTATTGCAGCTGGCAGCTAATATTCAGTCCATCCAGTTGTTATTTATTGTTATACTGAGCAATGTGAGTCGTGCCAACTCGATCCACCGGACTTTGGTGCCCGGACTGAAATTCCTTCTCCTGACCACTACCACTTTAGCGATGGATTTGTGCCTACTAGTCTGTTTAATGTTGCTGCGTGAAGTCGGTGCAGCAGTGCAGTGGCCGGATCACAGTTGCAGATCATACACTGAGGTGACAACAACAACGACGACGACGACGACAAGAGCAACAACGATGACGAAGATGAGAACAACAACAACAATAACAACAACAACAAGTGAAGCGCCAGTTGCGTTTACCAGTAGGATGCAAGGACCAACGTGTGTGTGTGTGTGTGCATTGAAACAGTGTGGATAATGTGTGCACCAGCGTCCCAGTGCACCGGGATCAACAAGCTCTTGTGAAATCGCTATGCAGCAAGTACGGAGAGTATACTCAGGTGGGGACAATGACACAATTAAAGTGTTACACAATAAACATAAAACTCAGTGAAGGAGAGGAGAATTAGCGAAGGAAGGCGACCACATCGATGTACCCACCCAAACACAAAAAGTGAGTTAACTCTCTTAGATACAAAATTGAACTATGGGAATGAAAGCAGTAAGAGTCTACGGCAACAAAATCTGTGAAAAGTGGAAGCAGTGGCACGAGAAGTGGATTACCTTTGTGGGCCCAGGTACGGTAGTCGGTGGGGTATCCACACCCGGGGTCTTTACCAGAGGAAACGCAGGGGAGGCGCTGCGCATGGTGGAGAGAGCAGATAAAACCTCGGCAGTCATGGTACAGCTGTCGCGCCGGCCAGCTAAAAAGATGAAGATAAACAAAGGGGAAATAATCGGTGTGGTTGAAACCGAACATGTGCGCTGAGTGAATGGAACATGTTCACCAATAGATAAGACACTGATCTCCTCAAACGGCACCGAACGTAGATGCAAACGCGCAACACCCTCGTCGTCTCAACAGCGAAACGCTGTGGATAATGTTCAGTCGCCCAGTGATTATGGTGGGGAGCATCCGGTTTCGGATTTGCCCAACGCTGTGGCCAGCCACAGGACGCCTGCGCCTATAGAGCAATCATGGGTGGCTTGCGCTGCACCTCCCACAGCTCCAACCACACACCCCATATTCAGTGTAAACCCGAAATAATAAGACTGGGAGGAATGTGGATGGGAGCCACGTTTCATCAACGGAGTCGGCCTACACTTCTTCACAGACAAACACAAGCACGCTGTAACTGAGAATCAAGCGCACACAAGGCGGTGGCTGGACCGTAGTCCGCTCCACACTGACTGCATGGAACCACTCTTTGATCCTAACCCGGCCACAAGAACCGTGCAGCCAGTCCTCTCTAGCAACTACCAACTGCCTCTAGGAGCCAGAAGGACGAGGTAGTGGGTAATAGGCAGGTAGGCACCTTGTCAACATTACATCAAGCGCATCCACACCGGGGATATCAAGCAACATCCATTCACTTTAAACGACAAGCTGAAATAAAATAAATCCAATAATACATACAGATACGGTGGCATAACTCTTCGCTAAAGTACCATATGAAGTAAGTTGGTTAGCAATGAATCCGCGATAAGTAAGAAATGTTCACAAGTTAACTAAAAATGCTACAAACGCAACAAAATTACCGAAGATAAGCGCAATTAGCGTAAGCAACGTGGCCAGTTAATAGAACATTATTCAGGTAGGCAGAACAAAACAAATAAAGTGGAATGAAATTTATCCAGCTTAAAAAGACCTAGTTTAAGTGTAAGTTGGTTCAGCCCAACTGCGGTGAAAAAGCATCATGAATACAACATCAGCCTTAGCATGGGGCAACCCAACGATTATAATGTGTTCGATACACATCGTCGCAACGAGACTGGACCGTAAGGTGGTAGGACGATTTTCGTGTCCCTTTCACTCATTCAGCCACAACGGATGGTGCATCCGGGCACATTGAGAGCTACTCCTACCACGTTGGTCAATGGTGCGAGGTCAGACAAATGCAGTCTCCTGGTCCTCCACAATGGGGGTTTCATATGCGATGGCGTCCATTTCTTTAAAATTAACTCATTGCCACCTCGCCGCTACCTTTCGGACAGGCTTTTGAGCCAAAGGCTTTGGATGAGGACCCTAATCGTCCACCTATCTAGGTCTGGGCGCCCTGGCAGTATCTCAGCAAACATACAACCATGACATTTTCTTCAAACATATACTTCATCCTGCTTTGGCCGTCTCCCAGATTATCAAGGGTCGCCTTATCTGCTGCATACAGCAGGGCGGATAAGCGAAAACATGCTACTGCTGGCGCCTCCCTTCTTTCATTTCCACCATTTCCACTTATTCTTATCCCGATCCCCAATACTAACCTTCCTTCTATAATACCCAGCTTAATTGACAGCAATCGGAATGCCACTGGAGTAGAACCATGTGCAGCCACCATCCCAAAGCACCTATCGGACGCCTATCGGCAGCAGTCCCTTATAAGGCCACGCTATCTCGTCTTCATGGCGACATTCAACGTTCGCACTCTAAGACAAATAGGTCAACAGGCTGCACTCGCACGCACCTTGGACACACTGGGTATTGATGTGTGTTGTGAGTCCGAAAATAGAATCAATGACCCTAACGGGGTTATTTAAATGACTGCACCCGGATTATCCTCTCGTTATTGGTTGCACGCATTCGGAGACGCCGATGCGGCACTCACAGGTCAAGCTAGTAAAGGTATCATTTTACGTTCCAAGACTGAGCCATCGTTGGTTGATTGGATTCCGGTGAACAGCCGTTTATGTGCAGCCTGTTTGACGACATCAGTTAACGTTGATTCATGAAGTAGTACAAAACGCTGTTTGTTTGTGATTTCCGCTTATGCTCCCACCGACTGCAGTTCAAATGCTATCAAGGACACATTCTATCACGAACTGAACACCGGACTACGCAGCGCTACTAGTTCAGATATTATAGTACTCGCAGGGATATGAACGCACAAGTAGGGCGTCTGAGCTCTTCAGAAACCCAGCTGGGTGGTAATTATAGGCTAAACTCCGAACGGACTGACAAAGGTGAGCGTCTGCTACAACTGTGTGTGGAGCACCAGTTGTTTCAAGTAGCACTGCTTCTAGACACAGTGGGCGCCGAAGTGCCACTTGGCGTCGTCCTGTAGCTGGCCAGCGATGGACCCAAATTGACCACATAGCCATAAATTACAGGTGGCGTAGTTGCATCCTTGATTGCTGCTCGTATTGGAGTACCTGTGTCAACTCTGATAATGCCTTGGTACGCTGTCGCTTCTCCATGAACTTTAAGAAGAGGCGCTCCAAGCGTCTCCTCCAATTGGCAAGTGAGAAATTGTATCAGTGCTCGGTCAAGCAAGCCTAACAAGACGCACTGCAAACCGAACTTCTGCTGTCTTGTCATAATGACACTGAGCTTCAGTGGAATAGGATCTCGGCCGCCATGCACGACGTAGGAGCAGCTGCTTGTGGCACTATCCCTTGTCACCGCACCACTCAATGGATATCCGAGAGGTCGGTGAACCGGTTGGAATAAGAAGGAAACCTCCCGGTGGAATCTGAACACAACGTGACCAGACGGGCTATTAGGCGTGAACTAAAGCAGAGCGTACGTGCTGACAAGGAAGCCTGGTGGACCAGAAGGGCTCAAGAAATGGAGGAGGCAGGAGCAGTAGGCAATTACCGCAAGCTCTTCCAGCTAATCCGCACCACAAGTCCCAGAAAACCAGGCGTCAGTGAGACAATCAGAGACAACGCGGGTGCATTGATACACAATAATGAGCGACGTATGGCTCGTTGAGCGGAACACTTTCAAGATCAGTTAGGCTGGCCTCCTGATCCCGGACATCTTCCTACTCAGGTATTGCAGGACGAGCCATGGGCGGTTAGTTTAGAGCCACCGTCTGAGGCCGAGGTCCGAAACGCGATCACAGCCCTCAATCGTTTTCTTGCCACTGGCCCGGATTCCCTCCCACCTGCACTATTTAAGGATAGAGGTCAGGCCCTCTGCAAAACACTGACCTATCTATTCGAACGTATCTGGAAGGAAGTGTCCTGGCTAATTAGTGCGAACCGATTATAGTGGCAATATACAAGAAGGGCAATCGCACAGACTGTTCTAACCACAGGGGTATTAGCCGAACGCCAGTTGTGACAAAATAACTGGCCTCAATTCTCGTTCGTCGCCTCACTGAGGAACAGGAATCACGGAATAAGGGAGAACAGGCCGGTTTCCGCTCAGGACGTAGATGTATAGACCATATATTCACTTTGCGGCAGGTGCTAGAGCAGCGCCATGCATAACGCAGACCGACAAAAGCTGTGTTCCTCGATTTAATGAGTGCGTTCGATGTAGTCGATCGATCGATTCTGTTCGAAATATTTGTGCGAAAGGGTGTTCCCACGAAATATGTGAACATCCTTCGGGCTCTATACTCGAACACTACAGGCTGCATTAGGGTCTACGGCGGCCTATCGAATATCTTTACGACTACAAGTGGCGTTCGTCAGGATTGTCCGATTTCTCCATTTTTGTTCAATCTCGTCGTGGATTCTGTCATGGAATGTCCCCTTGCGGAATTTCATGATGTAGGCGTTGAAGTGCTGCCTGGTGAAAGGTTAGTTGATCTTGAGTATGCGGACGATATCGTCTTGCTTTTCGACGATGTTGCGGCGGCAAAATCAACCCTGAATAGCCTGGCTAGAGTGGTTCCATCATTTAGTATGCAATTCGCACCTTCAAAGGGCAAAGTGTTGCTACAGCATCACCCGTCACTTTATGACCCCTTGACCCTTGCTAACGAGGAACTCGAGGTGGTTGATCAATTCACTTACCTAGGCAGCTGCATCAGGAACAATGGGCGCATAGAAAATGTCGTCAGCTCACGCAATGCAAAGGCCAGAGCTGCCTTCTTGAATCTGCGGCATCTCTGGCGACAGAAAGGAATATTAATCCGTCTGAAAGCTATGCGGATATTCCTTAAAGTTGACATACAAAATCATAAACCGTCAAATTCTCAGTCTAACTAACGGTGTTCACATATCTTTAATCAGCAGATATCCAATTCGTAACAAAGCGATAAATGTTGTGATTTATCACGAGAATCAGAGAACGTTTCTTTCCAACCCACTACTCAAAGATTTGAAGCAAACATCCAAATGAGATAAGAACATGCTATACACTGTACGATTCTAAGCTCGCGTTTAGTAAACAGTTAACCGTCCAAAGCGTGATTATTTTGGGACATCAGAGCGCCTAGATAATGCATTCCAAAACGGTATAGATGGTGCCTGAATAAATTTTCGAAACACATACACATGACATTTCGAACAGCAGAACCTATAATTTATTTAAATTTTCTTGAACCAAACATGTGTCATGTGATTGTGAAGAATCCTGGTGCAACGACAGGAAAAAATAACAGAACGATTCTGATTCCTTTGTGTTACCTAATCTGAAATTGCGCCCATGTTTATTACTGAAAAAAATATTAATGCAAAGTTATGGAAAGGTTGTGTCATTATTTGATCTGTTCATTCTAGTGAACAGTCTCTTGCATCGTCGAGGTATATACAATTTAGTTATTTATACAAAGCCACAGTGAGGGCCGTCCTGCTCTATGGTAGTGAAACTTGGCCCCTTTGGTCTGAAAATCTGAGGTGCCTTCAAGTCTTTGATCATCGTTGTCTGAGAAGCATTGCTGGTGTCCGATGGCAACAACAGCAACAGAACAGGACAACAGATCGCACTGAATAAGTTACGTTAGCTCGGGCAGATGCCTGGTTACCGCTTACC